CTAAGTCCCCGTCGATGGTGCGCCAAAAGTACGGAGAGGATTTGCAGAGAAGTCTGGATGCCTTTGTGACTAGGAAACAACCCAAAGAGTCGACAAACCATGAACCAACTGCCTTTGTGGCAAGGGAGGCGTCCTTATCGCTAATGTCTATCCAGCGCCGATTCGAGAAGATTCAACAGGCCCTTGAGAAGCCCGACGATACCCATTCATCTCAACAGCTGTTTTGGCTCAAGGCTGGACAGTTGTGGCCTGCAATCACTCACGTTACGCTATTAGAACAGCTGAGATCAACCGCGCAGCCCATCACGTTCGGTAAATATGCGAAAGAGACGTTGATTGACTTTGGCCTCGCAATTACGAATACGCAAAGAGACCTCAGAATCAATGATTTTGTTCGTCGAGGTGATGCTGGAAGGTACAAAGATGAGATGAGCAACCAGGGACATTCCAATTGGCAGCCTTGCGACCACCCAGATTGGCTGCTCTTGGAGATTGAAGCGAACCTTCTCATCCGCCCCGATCAGGTCGATGTAGCACTGGCTACGATTTCTCCCGCCTCGGGAAACAATTCCGTTCTTCAAATGAACATGGGCCAAGGTAAGTTGACTGATTATCTCCGCCTTCTTTCCATCTGTCGCTTAGTGGCATACTGACTGCGTCTCAGGCAAGACATCCTGCATTATCCCAATGGTTGCCGCAGCGCTCGCCAATCGGCAGAACCTCGTCAGAGTGGTTGTACCAAAGGCTCTGCTCCTCCAGACGTCGCAATTGCTTCAAGGTCGCCTAGGTGGACTACTTGACCGTCAAGTGCGCCACCTTCCGTTTTCCCGACGAACACCCACCGAGGAGCATATCATTCGGGCGTACCACAGAATCCACCGAACTATGATGAAGGAAGCAGGGGTGATGGTATGCCAACCAGAGCATAACCTTTCATTCATGTTGAGCGGATTGCAGCGCCTTCTTGACAACAGAGTTCCGGAAGCTGGTCCCATGATCAATGTTCAATCATGGCTTCGCACTCGGTGCCGTGACATTCTCGATGAGTCCGACCACACATTGGCTGTACGAACACAGCTCATCTACCCCTCTGGTTCGCAAACTACTGTGGATGGCCATCCTTCACGATGGCAAGCCACTCAAGCTATTCTACGACTTGTTGATCGTCATTCTTACGGGCTGACGAGTGCATTCCCCAACTCGATTGAGGTGGTTCGACGGCCTGGTGGTGGCTTTCCTCTACTTTTCTTCCTCCGGTCAGATGTCGAGGAAGAACTCATTCGCGGCCTCACCGCTGACGTATTGAGAGGTACTGATGGGATCCTTCCGGTCCAAAGTCTAGAAGCGGCGGACCGTCTTGCGATTCGGGAGTTCCTCACAGGCAAACCCCGGGACGTCACTCTGCAGCGCATTCGTCAACTCTGTCCGGATCGGCCCGCTGTTCGCCAGACAGTCTATCTTTTACGGGGAATTCTGGCGAATCGGATATTGATGATGACTCTGAAGAAGCGATGGAACGTCCAGTACGGTCTACACCCTTTGCGCGACCCCATCGCTGTGCCCTATCACGCGAAGGGTGTTCCTAGCGAGCAGTCTGAATGGGGACATCCAGATGTTGCTATTCTGTTTACATGCCTGGCTTTCTACTACGACGGCATCAGTGTCTCGCAGCTCACCCAGTCCTTGGAGCACCTTCTCAAGTCCGATGACCCATCGGCTGAGTATGACAAATGGACTCAGACCACCGAATCGTTTCCCGAGTCCCTCAAAGCATGGAACTCCATCAACGTAGATGATGATCTGCAGCTTGTCGAAATTTGGAAGGCTGTACGGTACAATATGACAACCATTGACTACTTCATGAACAACTTCGTCTTTCCCCAACACGCTAAGCAGTTCAGAGTCAAGCTTCAGTCCAATGGATGGGATATTCCACTATTCACGGTCGACACTCCCTCCTCAAACAATGGAGACAGCCAAGAGATTTCCAGGGCTCTGACAACTGGATTTAGTGGCACAAATGACAATCGTACGATGTTGCCTCTGACGATCAAGCAGGAAGACCTTCCCGGCCTATCTCACACGAACGCTGAGGTCCTTACTTACCTTCTACATAAGCGATCTCGTGAGTGTCGCAAGATTGAAGGCTCGGGAGGGGAAAGAGCGACTGAATCAGACCTTTTGCAAGAGCTCAGGCGACGGGACATCAATATCCTGATCGATGCAGGAGCTCAGATCCTGGAGATGGACAATGTCACCCTTGCAAAGAAATGGCTGGAAGTTGACCAGCGAGCTTTCGCTGCTTTGTTCTTTGACGAACAGAACAAACCATGGGTCATTCAGAGAACTGGCAGAAAGACCCCACTACTTGCTTCACCGTACGCGGATGACCTCAGTAGATGTTTGGTGTACTTGGACGAGGTAAGATGACGGTCATGTCTTATGTTGGAATTTCAGCTGAATGACTCTAGGCACATACTCGAGGAACGGACCTGAAGTTTCCCCCTAGTGCTCGAGGCGCACTTACTCTCGGCCTCGGTCAGAGCAAGGACCATACCGTTCAAGGTGAGTGAAGGGAGCCGTCCCCATGTTATGGTTTTGGGAAGAGGCTGACCCATCGCCAACAGCTGCAATGCGACTGAGACAGCTGGGAACTACCCAATCCGTCACGTTCTTTGCTCCACCAGAAGTATATCAGAGCATCCTGGATTTGCAGTCTAAACCTCTTGGTGCCACTGTCGACTCTCACGACGTGTAAGTACATGGATACACATGCACTGGACCACACTGACCGTGTGCAGAATTTGCTGGCTGTTGGACAACACTTGCGATGGCATTGAGCAATTGCAGCCCCTCTACTACGCCCAAGGCATCGACTTTTGCCGGCGCATGCAGGCCACCGTTGAACATCCCGAATTCCTGCGAGATAAGGCCCAAAGGGAAGACTACCTGGCCACAATCAAGCAGAACGAGCAGTTCAGCTTGCAGCAGATGTACGAGCCCAAGCGAAAGGTGAAGGGCACTGGCGAGTTCCGAGCTGGTTCGAACCTGAAGATCAGATCTTTTGTCAAGGAGCTCAATACGAGACGCAAAGCATTCCAAGATACGGGTCGGGCTGTTCATGCTTCAGCTCTGCAGGAGGTCGAGCAAGAGCGAGAAGTGGCATTCGAAGTGGAGACTGTTCGCCAAGTCAAAAAGCCCCAGCACTACCCAGCGCTGTCGTTCCCGGGCCTTGCTCAAGATATTGAGTCGTTCGCATTGAACGGAAGAATTCCCGCTGGATCTCAGAGCTTCGTGCCAGTTCTCAAGTCGCTGGCAAAGACGGGTACGGGCAAAAAGTTCAAGGTTGCCGATCGATCAACACAGGCACGGCTGTTCGTTTCCACAGAATTCGAGCGAACAATCAAGCTCACCTTCGACTTGACAAATGACAATTTCCTGGTAAGTACATTCCGCAAAGCTTTCATGTTGGCGGCAGTTCTGACAAGTGATTTACAGCGCAATGTGAATTGGATTCTTTGGAGCGATGTCACTGGTGTCGCTCTCGTCGTTGTCCCCGAGGAAGCCGAGATGCTTCTGCCTCTTACCAGAAACAAGGGCCCCAAGCATATGACACATCTCATTCTATACTCGGCCCCCGTCACCCGCAAGATGCTTCATTTCAGCAAACTTGACTATCTCAGTATCCCGCCTCTTGCTAACGACTGGGAAGCGCCAATGTGGTTGAGGGTTGAACTGGGATTATACGCCGGACGGCTCTACTTTGAGTGGGACGAGTATGCAGAGATATGCCGCCTGCTCGGTATTGACGAGACTTCTCTTTCCGAAGACATGGAAGAGTCTTCTGATGAAGATCTGGAGAGGGCACAGCTTGACGGAGCAGTCGAATCTAAGCCGTCGGCCAAGCCAGCCAAGACTGGTCTGACACCTCGTCCATTGACATTTTGCCAAGAATGGCTTGCTGCTCGACGCCGTGGTCAGGACTTTGTCTCTACCCCTATGGGCTTCATCGCCCAGGGAAAGCCTCTTCAGGCTACCCACCCTTTCTTCCGCAAGACTGATACGGAGAAGAATGACAAGCTTTTCGTCCCCATCAGTCGCCAGAAGGTTCAACAGGATGCCGATGATCAGCCTCTGGACGATTTCGGTCTGGACTACATGGGCGAAAATGAGAACGCAGACAGCGATGCTGACGACGACGAGATCGAGTACAACGAGTCGGAGATGGGCAGCGATGGCGAGGACCCTCAGGTGGAGTCGGATTCGGAGTATTGAATTAGTCGGATGGGATACTTGCTCAGAATGTTGCTTGATCTTCCGTGTCAAGGGATGGCAACGTGGAATGTTCTTTCATTGGTGTTCGGATTACTTCTGTATGATACCACTTGCTTGCTAGCTCAGATCGTCAAATTGTCTTTGTTTTCACCATTCGCGGTTCTTTCTGGTCAGCCCACTTGTCTAATAGTAGTGATGACGAGCAGTATGATGGCTGCGATGGATCAGTAGGCGATCCTGTTTTATTGTTTGATTCCCACGAGAACTTGGGGACTTGGATTGCTCGACACAGTCTGTGTCTCACTTACAAGGCCATGGTTCTGTCAATCCACGTGAATCAAGGCAGAACAGCGAGGCACTGAAGTAGGAAGATTAGGTCAGGAGAACCAGGTCAGGAAGACCCAGAAGTGCGGCGAGAGAGGAAGACGAAGCAGGAAGACGAAGGAGGACGAAGAACAGGATGACGAAGCAGGACGACGAAGCAGGATGACGAAGCGGGACGAAGCGGGACGACGAAGGACGAAGCGGGACGACGAAGGACGACGAAGAAAAGAGACGGCAGAAGCGATGGACCTCCAAAACAATTCATTTGACATGCTAGTAACATACATCAGGTAGGTGCATTTGGCCCATTTCCTCCTTTCTCATGTTCCGACTTTCGCGAGTCTCCCAAGAAATCCTTCACATCATCACTACAGAGTCGTATCAATCATCCTCCCGCGAGATCAAAGGTGCTTGCTGACCCGAGACGGCTTCAAAAGCCTCATGCCCAGCGACGTCCAGTACCAGACCGGGCCATTGTCGATGGTGACAGCGTCCACTCCAGTCTGCTGGCGACAGGCAGCGGACTCGCAGTCGTTCTTGCTCCAGCCGACAAGAAGGTCGTCGGCCCACCAGGTGCGAGGCTGGCCATCCACGCGAAGTGTGACGGTGATGGAGCTCAGACCAGAGAAGCCAGTGGCCTTGAAAACGGTGAGAGGGCACTCCTTCATCGCAGGGCAGGAAGGCACCCAGGCAGTCTGGCTGGCGAACTCCGTCTCGTTGCTCTGTGTAGCGTTCCACTGGTAGCCCGTGAACGTGAACTCACAGAGCTGGCCGGCGATGCGAGAGTCGCAGCCGAGATTGATGCCGTAGAAGTCGAATTGGAAGCACGGAGATGATGCCGTCTTGCCCATGCCAATCTGAGCGGTGTCTCCGGAGAATCCAGTGGTGTTGGAGAGCATGGGAGGCACGAACTCGACGAGGCGGCCGCCAGAGGAGGGCAGGTACGGGTCCGATGGGGGAGGACCGACGAGGAACCCCTTCGAGAACCAGAAGCGGTGGTAGGGGTTGTAGACGGGGCCAACCGAGAGGTCATCAAACTGCAAGTCTTGTCAGCAATGGCCAAGGACGCCGGACGACAATGGCGACAAAGACGACGCCGGACGACGATGGAGACAAGGAAGAAACTTACGTCCAATGACAGCGTCCCAACCTCTGTGGTACCCGTGCACATGGGGGTCGCCGCCGAAATGGGGGCAGTTGCGTTCTGGCGCTTCTGGAAGGCACGACGCTCGAGGGCAGCTCCTGCCGTGGGGGTTGGCGTGGTCGTAATTACCTGGACCAGGGTGCTGAGAACCAGCGAGCTCTGGACGTTGCCGCCGGCGCTGGCAACCACGGTGCTGGCAATGGTGCTTGCACTCACAATGACGCTGGCGCTGGCACTGGCACTGGCACTCGTACTGGCGCTGGTACTGGCGCTGGGAGGGCTGCCACCCGCGGCGTTGCCGGGGTCTGCCGGGCTCACAGTGATGACCGAGATGGAAGTGACCAGGGACTCGAATGGGAAAGAGTAGGTGGTTGTGGCTTCCGAAATGACGTTGACCAGTGTGCTTGTGAGCAGAGAAGAGCTCGTCTCTGTCGAGCTTGGAACCGGTGGGCTGGGTTTTGCCGAGATGGGTTCCATGGAGCTGACTGCCGTCGGGGTCGGCTGCGGTGTGAGAGTTGATGTGCAAGAGCTGGTGCTCGCTGCGCCAGGCTGAGCAGAGCCAACGGCAGTGGCAGCGTCAGTTGGAGCAGCAGGTGCGGCCGCATCGGTCTGGGCAGTGGGCCACAATGTGACCACAGAGGGAGAGCCGAGAGGACCTGGAGAAGCAGTTACTTGCCCTGGGTCGCTGTATCCTCCAAGAATGCTGCCGGGAGCAGAGCCAGCAGGAACAGTGACCGTCACAGGTGCTGCGCCAGCGGGATCCTGAGAGCCGGAGCCAGCATCTGAGCCAGCTGAAAGGGTTGTTGTGATCGCAGAAGGAACGCCAGCTGAAGGAGAGGAGTCGCCATAGCCACCAGGAATGGAGTCGCTCGGAGAGACAGTCTGACTCAAGATGGAACCAGGGCCGCCCGGAACACCCCCGGCAGGAGGGGTGTCAGAGGTCATGAAGACGGTGACAATTGAGCCAGATGGAGAAGAGGCGCTGGGCTGAATGACGGTGATAGTGGAAGGGCCGACAGGAACAGCTGGTCCGGAAATGCCAGGAGACGAGGGGTTCGGCTGGATGACAGTGATCGTGGCAGGGCCAGATGGGGAAGAACCAGGAATGCCAGGAGGTTGAATGACAGTGACGGTGGCAGGGTCAGACGGGGCAGGGCCAGGAACGCCAGGAGGCTGAATGACAGTGACGGTAGCAGGGCCAGACGGGGCAGAGCCAGGAACGCCAGGAGATGCCGGAGGCTGTAAGCCGCCAGTCGCAGGAGGTTGAGGGAATGTGAGAGTGAGAGTGGCGATAACAGGAGTGCCTGCCGTGGGGTCCTGAGCACCTGCCGGCATAGTGTAGGTGGTGGTAACGACGGTAGCAGGTGGAACACCATTGCCAACGCCCGGAGGGAATGAAGAAAGAAGCGTCTGAAGAGAGTAGGAGAGACTGCCATCAGGGCCTGGGACCATTGTGGGAACGACAACGGTGCTAACAGAGCCACCGCCAACGGGAGCCCCAGGGGTATTGCCAGAGTCCGTCGCAGAGGGAAAGGTGACGGTGAAACAAGTAACGAGAGTGTCGACAGTTGGAGTGCCTCCTGATCCAGGTCTGGTGTTGTACAGAGTGGTGCTGAAGACAACGACGCCATCAGAGTTGGTGCCAGGGTCCGTTGGGTTCCAGGGGAAAGAAGGAGGAGTCTGTCCAGCAGGGAACGTGTAGACTGTCGTTGTTCCTTGACCACTGCCTCCTGGAGCGCCGGGGGTAAGTTGGCCGCCAGGGAGGGTGGTTGCAGGAGGATTGCCATCAACGTTGCCGGGGATGCTGGCGATTGAGGAGTCGGGAGTGGGAGCGATGTAGACAGTGGACGTGATGATGGGGCCAGACTCCCAGGGCTTGGGGCCTGTGTACTGAGAGCCGCCAGCAGGAGGGGTGTAGGCGTCAATGGTGATGGTAGTAGGAGGAAGAGAAGTGGGCTGGGCAACGACGGGGATGTAGACGGTCTGCGTGAGGATAGGGCAGGTTGAGGCCAGGGCAACGCCCAAGGCCGCGAGGCCGCCGATGACTCGGGCTCGCATGTCGACGGAGACGCTGAAGGACGCTGAAGGACGCTAAAGGACGACGAAGGACGAGGAAGGACGCCAAAGGACGAAGACAAAGGACAAAGACGACAGAAAAGACAGAGACAAACGAGGGCGGGCGCCAGAAATGAAGGATGGGATGAAGAAGAGAAGAAGTCGGAGGATGATGGGAGAGAGAGGGGGGGTTTAAATAGATGGAGGGGAGGGGACTGATCGAGGGGCAGAGGCAGAGGCACAGGTAGGAGGGACCTCCTTCCTCGATCTTGCAGTTTGAAGTTCTGGGAAGGAAGTTTCCGGGTCACGGGAGGAGTAGATGGCAGGCATGCACACTGCAGTTGCCAGCCTCATGCTCTGTAAGTATGGAAGGCACGGCGGGGCATACGAGGGACAAGAGCCGGGCAAGCACCAGCTCATGGAAGGAGAAAAGAAGGTTGGGCATCATGTCAAACAGCAACGAAAGCCAGAGCACACAATCATATACTTTGCAGGCCAGTGAAGAGCCGATGGAGACGAGCATACTTGGGGAGGGAGCACTTCGTCCACAGCAGATATGTCCTAGCCATCGGTCATGATCAAATGCGGCAGAATATGGCGTCCTCCAGAGGCACATGAAGTCCTCGCCGGTCTGACCATGCAACTGCCCATTGAGGATTGCAACTGCTCTCCGGAAAAGGTTGGCAAGTACCTGTTGCTTCATGTGACTGTGAACAGAACCGCCTGGAATCGTTCGGTCAGTCAGGTGGCCTGGTTTCGAAACCAGTGGGGCAAGAGTGGTCGTTGCCTTCCGCAAGTTGAACAGTTGTTGAGGGAAGGCTCGACTTCCGTGGGAAGGTCCTCGCCTCACCAGTCCCACGGACTCGCCGTATCGCAAGAGAAGCGGGCAGGAAGGAGGTGTGCAAAGGGAAACAGGTTGGTCGGGGTGGCAGCCGCGGCGAGGCACATGCACTGTATCCAAGTCAAGCTGGCAAGGAGACAAGTCCGGTGCCTTCCCAGGAAAGAGCTGCTCCCCACTTCCTTGTCAGCCATGGAACAGGCTGGAATCTGGCCATGGTATGAAGGAAGAAGGAATGAGGCGCCAAGGCAGGAAGAGAGATGGAAGGAGAAGAAAACGCTTTTGGTAAGGGCGGGTCACGTCGTGGAGGAAGGAGGGAGGCAGCAGAAGTCCGGTGGTCCGGGGTTTGGTGAGTGACTGGCGATGACGCCGCCGATGAGGTGGGCGAGCACAGAATGGCTGCAGGAGGGCTGTGGTAGAGGTTGAATGGAAGTCAATTGATTGCTTGCTTGCTGTTAATCGAAATAAGGAATGCACTTCTCCAGTCTAGACCGGGTCATCCTCGTAGGGAGGCGGCGGCGGCAACGGCTCTCCAACCAAGCTCTCCACGGCCTCCCTCCTCTTCTCGTCCTCCATTCTCGCCGCCCAGAGTGCCGCGCCCGCCGACGTTGTGAGCAGGAAGAAAAAGGACAGCACCGGCACAAGCTCAAGAAGCATAGCCACCGTGCCGAACCACACGTACTCCCATGTCCTCGACGATATCTCCCTCTTCGACTCCTTCTTGCTCAGGCCCCGCAGCTGGAACCATCTGTAGTGGGCAAGCTTGCCCAGTCTCGTGCCCGTGATGATGATGAACGCCGGCGTGCCGACCACCGGGATGAAGTTGAGGGGGAGGAAGATGATCAGTTCGATTATCTGGACCATGCTCCAGGGCGTGTAGATGGCAGAGGTCGTTGGCTTGCCAAGCATCTTGACTGCGGTCGGGGCGTCGGGGAAGAGAATTCGGTGCGGGGCAACGAGCTCGGTATGTGACTCCTTGACGAGGGTGGCCTAGCACGCATCGTTAGTTTTGCTTGGAAATACTCGTTTTGGCTTGCGTGGACGACTCACATCGAAGACATCGACTCGGCATTCGTCGACAAAGAAGCCCTCAAACAGACCCTGGATAATCACGACTCCCTCTCCGAGGACCAGCACCACGGCGTTGACCCAGGCGCCCCAGCCGTGGAAGATGGCCAAGAACGCGAATTGCGGCAGGAAGGCAAACGTGAAGAGTATGAAGTATACCAGGAAGGATATGATGGATAGCGGTAGCAATCGGCTGAGGAAGAGCGGGTAGAACTCCTTGTTTCGCAGGAAGTACCAGATACCGCGCAGAGGGTACGATGCGGCGATGCCGGCGCGCGTTAGGTAGCTGACCGGTCGCTCGACAGGGCGAAGAACGACATCGACGCGTGATGACCACGCCGATTGCTGTGATTCTGGCATTTTTGTATCGGCCGTCAGGCTCGAGGTGTGTAATAGAAACGAGGTCGTCGTCGATTTAAAGTTCGAAGTTGTTCCTGCAATCGCTTGGACGCGACTCTCGCTGGAAATGAATGCGCAAATGGCTGCCTACGTCATCCGACGCGGCGTTCTCTGATTGGACAGCGATGTTGACAAGCCCACTCCAATCCGCAGGGAATGCCTTGTTCAACTTTGGGGAACCCCGCGGTCGCGACGATCATTTGGTAGCGCATAGCTTGTCGGGAGCGCCAGCCACCAACGGTCCACTGCCAGCCAACAGAGCCGAGCTGAAAATGAGTGAGTCGCCAATCATTGAAAGGCAGCATTGCAAACTCCGGTTCTTCGATGCATTTCCAAACCTCGACTTCAATTTCAATCAAATGATTATCTTTCCAGCGAAGTCGATGCCATTTTTCGCCGCCATTTGGAAATGGCTGGTGCTGATCGAGGCATCTTTGCATTACGGTACCTTCAGTGCCGATAGCAAGCGTCAGAATGTGAATTTGCTCGACTCTTGAGATCTTTGTCGTGAATCCGCTTTCTTTCGACATCATACTGGTTCCGGTTATTCTCGAAATGCATTTACAAATGGCTCTACAGGCGCATTTCGGGCCCGCGAGCGAGAAAGCTGATGTCGGTGACGGACCTCACCAAAACGTGGGTTTCCTAAGTTTACCACAATTGATATCCATGATCACGTTGAAATGCTTCCACAAATGACTTTTGGTTGAATTGGCCAAATATAAGGGAATCCGGCCTTTACAGGCATTATTGGGTTCATAGCGCAAATTTATGGCCGCCTGAAGTTTGTAGCTGGCTAGGAACAGTGTTTCAACGCCCGAATTGGAAAAAGCCGCTGAATTGGATTTGATACGAATTCCCAACGGTCGACCAAAGACAGGCAGACGACAGCGTAGGATAGCAGCCATGTTCAGACTGTATGTACTCCTATGGCACGACGCCTCTAGATTCTTGAGATCGAGAAGCCCGCCCACGGAGGTGAAATCGTGAATAATTGCTTTCTGAGAGTGACCTAGCCTACCTACACCTGAGAACTTGAACGGCTCTGTTCCAGAGATATCTATGTGCCATGTGCCTGGAATTATTGACCTGTACACACACTTTTATGCCATCTTGTGTTGAATCTTATGAGGAACTCGTGAGATTGAGCGCAGCACATCTTCCTGCACCCAAGATCAAACTGAATAGTTTAGGAGTCCGAAGGTTAGCTTGAATAGGTCGCAAAGAGGTGATAAATAGTGTCTCTTACTCGATAATGGATTCCTAGATTTCTCATATACGTGGGCTGCCTAGTTCAGGTAACCAGACAGGACCACCACAGGATGGCCAACCACAGGCCAGGACAGCCAATGCCGATGAAATAGATGAAAGCATAAGCCTCAGAAGTGCGTTGAAAGGTAGGCAATCTTGTGGTAGAAATGGCAAAGCGTAGGCCAAAGATGAGTAAAATGCCCAGTAAAAGAAGCTCCACAAGACAGATGCCATACGGGGACCTTGATACGCAGTCTTTGTTGTTGGATTTGACCCGTAAAAGTTCTGGAATGTGTGACGTGGCTACTATCCATCGCAGCAGAGCGAGGATGGGTTGTGAAGGGAAATGTGACATGCTGGTGCGTGCGAGTGAGATGATAATGCGCGCGAAAAAGGTGTTGAGAAACCCCCATAAGGAAGTGATGCGTGACCACAAGACGCGTGGCCACAACCATTCCGAGTCACCGATGCGGCAAGTCATCTCGCCGGTGGTCATATTAGCCAAAGAATTTACCATTGTGCGGTGATGACATATGGTGAGAAGAGGTCCAAAGGTAATAAGCCAGCGGAGTGGCTCAATCTAAGGGTGGGTGGAAATCGATTCCAGTAATTGTTAATCTTCTGAGGATTCAAATTTATTAATAAATCTGCCCGGAATTATTTGACAACCGGGCATTGGTCTTGCTGGTGGCTTAGTGTATACTACAGGCCAGAGTTACCAAGGTCCTCAGACTCCTCACTACCCTGCTGGCCATGAAGGCCATTTTACCACAAGCAGACTTTTGTGGAATCACTTTGAGATACCGGTTTTCCCTGGACTTTTAGAAGACACTGGTTTACTTGCTTACGTATTCCCATTTCTCAGTTTTCCTGGGATGGGACACTTCGCTACTAGCTGCCGTTACCAGGATTCAGACTGGAATGGCACAAGGATCCAAATTCTGGGCCAGACGGCCTACCACTGAACGCCCCTTGGCCCATTCCCAAGCTGGGAACGTTTTTAGGACGTTAAGACACCGCTTCAAGAAGCCACCACAGAGCTGGCGAAGAGCTGTCTCATCGGTCCCAGAACTCAAACTCATCTGTATACCCTGCTGGCTTCTTCTTGAAACCTGAAATAGACAGTTGGCAGGAAAGAGATGAATGTTTGGCCGTCCACAAGAAATGGGCCCCCCGTCAACTGCAAAGGTGTGACGCAGATTGTCCTGGTACGGATCGGAGATAATTAAAAACAACAAATTTACAAGAAGAGGCACGTATTACTTTGGAGGCTCTTTGGCAATTCCAAGCACTTCTCCTCATACATCAAGTTATATATTCAAAGTACCTTCTTCCAGCATTTACCTCAAACTTTCAGAAACAATGATGGAACAAGTTGATATACTGACACTGGGTTGGATCTTTCGTCAGTTAGCTTGGATATCATATTTCCTGGCTCCTTTGATGC